GGAGTGTTTAGTACTGATTCAATCTCAGGTATCTTCTCAGGTTCCTTCTCAGCCTTTTGTGAGCATGGCTTAGAAGTCTCCTTTGCTGTTTTCCAGACTTTGTTTGTTGATAGCTCAGGAACCAGCTGGATGTTTTCTTTTGCTCCTGGTGAAGCCCTAGACCAGCGCCCAAACTGATCCAAAGCAAGTAATTTTTCCTCCTTGGACGTTTTTAGGTCTGATTTATTCCACCTTTGCTTGCTGCCACGTTCTCTCATGATTTGGTTGAAGATCTCGGCTGCTATGTCATCCAGTTGCTGTTCACTAAAGATCAAGGTCTGGTTTTCTGCAACTCTCTTCCTTGTTGCTTGTTGTTTACCCTTATCTTCCTGTTTTCTATGGGAAGACAGTGAAGATTGCTGGATTGCTGATGGATTTCGTGATCCTAGGTGCAGATCATCAAACCCTAAGCCCCCAAGTGGCTCTGATACCACATGGTGCGGCCTTGGATAGGAAGACCTCGTCCCAATCACACTTGAGGGATGATGGGTGGTTCCTTGAGCTTGAGAAGCTCCAGGACGTTGGGTGATCTTCACAATAGGGCAGCGGAATGCCCTAAAGTTGTTTAGCGACTCCTGAGACACAGGTGCACCCTGCTTCATGTCTAGGATGAATCACGGAAGCTCACGCTACCTACTGTGACAAAGATCTTGTTCACCACGTGAACAATGAATGGAGGTCCCCAAAGGGACGTGGATAAAAGCCAAAAGCTCAAGTTTTATTAAAAGATTGCATAAGTTACAATATGTGCAGCTTTTGGCTTATATAAAGAACATAAAAAACCCTAACTAGAAAGCCACCTAATTATAATCCAAAGAGGAAAACCAAAACCAAATCCTATTTCTAATTGGTTTATGAAAACCAAATCCTAATCCTAATTGGTTTAGAATTACAAGAAATCAGAAATACACCTAAACTAAGTAAATCGGCCAACTTAAACCAAGCTGGTCGATCTTTCCACTTCTTGGGCTTGNCTCGTCCCTGATGTACTCCTGGTCCAATTTGCAAACAAAGAGATCCTTCTTGATCCATATAACACTCTGCTCCATTATCTCTTTGGTCAGATCATTACAGCTTCTAAATAACCCATTAGATTGTGTCTTGATCACTCTCCTAGCTGCTTCATAGCTGATCTTCAAATCCCTTAAGTTGAGGCTGGTCAGGATCGCACCAGTTTTATACCTATCTATTTATTTATAATATGTAGTTTTATTTATCTACTTGTGTTATGAATTGGTTAGCTATGTCTGAGTAGTTTACTTGTTAGATTTATGGTCTAAATATTTTAGAGGGATTATCCCCAACTATAGGATTGCTAGTTGTGATATTCATTAATAGGATGTTTTAATTGCTCATGGTTAGTAGCTAACTAGAAACATTGAATCCTGCATTATTTAGGTTGAATTAAAGAAATTTAAGTGATTCTGAATATCATGAACACATCCCTATTAAGCTAAGATTTATTAGAAATATAATTGACACAATTTGATTTAGAAATGTTTAGTGAGTTTAGGTTAACTCGTGTGCATTGCTTGACCGGAGTCATCGATCGATCTTCCTAACAGAAATCGGTCTATAATGAGTTTAGTGTATCGGTCGATTTTCCTATCGATAATCGATCGACACTGTCAAGTGCGACCATCCGGTAATTAGACTTATTTATTTGAACGTTAGTTTAGATAAATTGTTAAACAAGATAGTTAATGCTCTATAATATCTCGCAAGCAACTATATAGCATCCTATAGAATTATAATCCTTAAAACCTGAATAAAAATCCAAAGTCTACCATCTTTTCCATTTTAGTTTTAAAAGTCTTAATTTCTATTTTAGATTAATTAATTGTCGTGCTTAATTGGAATATTTACTTTTTGCTCATTTATTGTTTTTACTATTTATACACTCGCCTAGAGTTATATATGACTAGATCTATTAGGTTCTTTAGCTCCTTGTGGATTTGATCCCTAAGTACTACGGCTGAACCTCTTATTTGAGAGAGTAATTCACTCCTTAGGGTAATTTGAGTGATATCAACACTAAAGCAGGTCAAGTACATTAAATTGAGACGCATGCAGAGGTACGTTTTATTCCCGTTTTATTCATTACTTTAAGATAGTATAACTGTGTAAAACAAAGTGAAATTTAAAATAAGCGCAATATTGAGAAACAAGGTAATGTATGAAGAACTTTGTAAAACTAAGTTGAACTTCAACTGTATCAATTGACAACGTTTGTGAAAGTTAAAAAAAACTTGAAGTTTATTTCGTACGTGATCCGCTTTTCATTGCACTGCAGGTCGGAGATGACGGAGCCATGCAACCACTTAAGTTTCGCTTGACTTCAATCCCTTAAGGGTGTGAAGCTTTCAGGAGAATGTTACATCGACTCGGCGCTAACAAATATACAAAGGATCCTGAAACAGAAGGAGTGTTCTTAGATGACCCACAGTTCCAACATTTATTCCATATAAAAAAATGAAAGCAGAAGTGGATGGGAATGTGGATTATTGTTTTGCATTCAGCTTCGAGAGCGAAGAAGAATGAGTTATGGTTTATTGTTAATGGTGTCCCAATCCGATACTCTCTCAGAGAATTCGGACTTATCTCGGGATTATACTGCCATGAGTATCTGCCGAACTATGAGAGGTTGGGTGGTCCATCCTTCATGAAAAAGTATTTTGAAGGGAAAAAGGTTACATACACTGAGGTGGAGAAGAAGATGTTGGAAGTGAAAGGAAAACCAAGTCTGGATCGTCAGAAGATGGCCGTTCTGTACTTTTTAGCCAGCATACTCGTTGGATGCCGAAAGACTGGAGAGGGAGCATCACCTGTGGACAGTTTCTTCCTGACTGTTGTTGATGACCTCGATGCGTGCTTAAGTTCCCTTGGGGCGGTATGCGTTCGAACACAACTTGAAGGATGTATTTAGCTTCTTGAAGAAGTGCAAAGGGGAGGTTTCGACTAGTTGGGTATTTACAAGCTTTCTTGTTCCTTTGGAGGTATTCTCAAGCTCTTCTTTTTCTTAGGATAGTAAATACGTGAATTTGATGGTAATTATGTTGTTTGTTGTGTGTAGTTGTTGACCTTTGAGGCAATTCCAAACTTGAGGAACCATTTCCGAGAAAATGTGAAAAATGCACACGATGATTGCCCGCGGATGTGCAAGATGCAGTACAAATACAAAGGTGGAACGAAGGCATATAGTCTGAATGCAATGAATGAGCAACTTGGTGAAACTAAGGTAATTAATGTTATATGAGTAATTCGAATAAAGAAGAAAATAAGTTTGTATTATTTGCAGCCACATGATATTGAGAGTATATTGGTAGCAACAGAGGCTGAGAAAGAACTTCTGAAAAGAATAGGGATGAAGAAGGACGCTTGTTGGGCCGATGACGACGATGATGCAGCAGTTGATCATTGGACGAAGATAATACAAGAATGGAAGAAACAATTTGTTTTTGAAGAATAGTTCAACATGGATGTGGCTGCTCGTAACCGTCGACCTACACCTCCGGTTGAAGCTCCCACCATTCCTGCTATTGGAGCATCAGAATCGGTGGAGGCTCCTAGAGTTGAGGATTTAAAAGAACTCGAAGTTCAGCTTATGAATGCAATCCGGGATGGTTTGAAGAAAATTAACAAAAAGTCGACTCATTGGGTAATCGACTAACTCATCTAAAAAAGAAGTGAGGAGGCTTACGAAGAGGGTTCCCGATAGTTCCGATGGTAGTGTTCCCGATGGGACCAATGGTGGTGTTCTAAAAATTGCTAAGCGAATGCAGATTTTTCATGGTGGGGGTAATGATGAGGAAGATGGTGATTCCAAGGATGATTACCTCGAAGAAGAAGATGGTGGTACCAAGGACGATGACCTCGAAGAGGAAGAAAATGGTGATTCCAAGGATTATGACCTCGTAGAAGAAGAAGATGGTAGTTCGAAGGATGATGACCTGGAAGAAGAAGAAGAAGAAGATGGTGGTTCTAAGGATGAGGACATGGCTGGTGAGAAGGAAAATGAAAAGTGGGGATGTGGAAACTGAGAGGAAGACTAAGAAGAGGAAAAGTATCGGGGATGAAAAAGAAAAAGGTGTTGCAAAAAAAGCCAAAAGAAAAAACTGAAAATGTGAGGAGTCCCGTTGTGACAAGACGTAGTCAGAAGGCAAGTTCCAAACATAAGGAAAGTGCGAAGAACAAGGCAAGTACTCAGAAGAAGAAGGCAATTACGCAGAAGAAGGCATGTACCACCAAGAAGGCAAATACCCAGAAGAGGAAGTCCAGCAAGAGAGGTAAAGGGAAATAGGTGTGAAATCTCCTGTGATGTTTAGATAATGTGATAATTATTTCGTATTTGTTCAAGAGTTACCCTATGTATTACTTAACTTGCAACTTCGTTTTACCTTCAACGTCGTATTACTTCGTGAAACTAGAGTATAATCAGGTGAAACTCTTTTAAAATTTTACTTTCGTATTTGTGGAATTTGGTGAAACTAGAGTAATTTAGTGAAACTAGAGTATAATCAGGTGAAACTCTAACAAAATTTCACTTTCGTATTTGTGGAACTTGGTGAAACTAGAGTATAATCAGGTGAAACTCTAACAAACTTTCACTTTCGTATTTGTGGAATTTGGTGAAACTAGAGTACAATCAGGTGAAACTCCTACAAAATTTCACTTTCGTATTTGTGGAATTTGGTGAAAATAGAGTAATTTAGTGAAACTAGAGTATAATCAGGTGAAACTCCTACAAAATTTCACTTTCGTATTTGTGGAATTTAGTGAAAATAAGATATAGTCATTCAAATCGAAAGATATAGGCGACTTACATCCATCCATAAGCAGAGCAAAAACCAACAACCACCGATTGTAGGAAGAACGATACAAAGCGCCGACATCCTTCCTTAACATTGTAACCACATCCTTAAGCTCAGAAATCTCTGCAACCATCTCAACGACACGCTTCCTTAACATTGTAACCTCTTCCTGGACACCGAAGACCCATGGTTGACGGAAATGGAAGACATCATTCTACACAGAAAAACAGAAAATTATCAAAATCTGCACCTAAATCCCAAACTATCAGTTACTTACCACAAAATTTACGCAGGTGAAGTATTTTCTCCCTGGTAAAATATCAAAATCGGTTCGATACTTTAGCTCCTGAGACACTTCGTTGATGATTCCCCCGGGGGGGGGGGGGGGGGGCAAGGGCAGCAGGTCGATAACCCGCACTCGGCATACGCCACAAACCCAAGCATGTCGTGGTGTCTCTTTAAGGCCTTCATGTGTTTGTGCTCCTCGTTTGGATGAGTCATAGTTTTGAGTGTGGTTGAGGGTTGTCGAATCGAATAAAGAGAGAAAAAGTTTTAGAGAGAGAGATATGGTTGAAATAAATGAGACAAAGTGAAAATATGGTTTAAATAAATGTCTTCCTCGAATCGGGATTGATTTTGAGGAGCGGGAAAATTTGGAAAAAATGGGTGGAAAAATTTGGAAATCTGAGCGGGATAAATTTCTAAAGGTTTCCGTGGTATAAGTTTCACATGGTTTGTAGTTATACAAAAAGTTTAAAGTTGTAATTTCCTCGGTTTTGCAATTTTTTTAGCTTTACTGTGCTTAGATTATAAATTTTATGGTTATACCAACTTGTTTCCGTATTGTAGCTGAATTTCTCATGGAATAAAGTAGATATAATCTTGTTAATGTGACATATAAAAGTTTGTAATCCCATAAGGTAAAGTTTGAGAAAACATAAAGCAATGGAATGTATTTCCTTCCAACTGAATACAAATCAGGAATTAACTTCTTACATATAATTTTAATTTTATCCGGAATTTAAAATTTTCCATCCAAATAAATAAATATGAATAAGTAACGTGATGCAAAGTTTTATTTAAATTATCAGTTACTCTAAACGATCAATAATATAACGCATGTTACACCAAGTTTTACAATTATATAACGCATATTCCACCATGTTTTACAATTATAAAACGCATGTTCCACCAAGTTTTACAATTATATAACGAAGGTATCACCAAGTTTTACAATTATATAACGCATGTTCCACCAACTTATTTCTGATTTTCCTGTGTTCCTTGAGTCCCTTGAGTACTTTGAGTCCCTTGAGTTCCTTGAGTTCTTTGAGTTACTTGAGTTCCTTAAGTTCCTTGAGTCCCTTGAGTCCATTAAGTCCTTTGAGTCCATTGAGTCCCTTGAGATCCTTGATTCCCTTCATTACCCATCGAGCAGTTGAACCAGCTACCCAAATTCCTGTTAGGCACATACTTATTAGCATGGGTCCAGGTTCTCCAACCGAAGGAAACCTTTTTTCATGTGTTCTTTTCTTTCTTTTTGTGTACTCTGGCGGTAACGGACACTGTTCTGCGATATCTTTTGGAACCATCCATTCAGAAATATGATGCACTGGATATACAGTCCTTTGATACGCCAAAGCCCAGACTTTAATCAAGTAATAAGGCGAGATTATATTATACATGTCACAGATAGCTATTTGTCTATCATGCTTCAAACATGCTATGGCAGCGCCTATTGCATGGACACATGGGTATTTATCTATATCCAACTTCCGGCATCTGTAAATTTTAATATCCAGATTAACTATATAAGTCTTCCCGTCCATTCCAATAACACTGTATTCAAGCTGAAAAGTATTCAGCGGAGCCACCTCTAGTTTTTCACCTTTCAACTCTTTTATGCATTTTGTACTCCACATAAGGAACCAATTTTTGAGCTGACGATCCGGCTGCTGCATCCTTCCTATGTCTGTTGAACCACTCCGCCATTTTGTCAACAACTATATCAAGCATAGGCAGTAAAGACATCTTCCGTGCGTCTTCAAAAAGCGCATTCAAAGACTCCGCACAATTAGAGGTGTCTATGTTGTACCTTGCACCGGGAAAATGACATTTCGCCCACATTTTAACATCGACACTTTTATCAAGATACTTAGCACACGATGGATACCTCCCCCTAAACTCTTGATACTCCTTTTCAAACTCAGCCTCTGAATAAATTTGTGCAATTCTTCTGAAATGTTCTGCAACCTCGTCCCTGCTCTGTTTGACATGAATTTTCACATTATGTGATAGATGCCAGATACAATATCCATGTTCAGCCATCGGATACACTTCAGCAACGACGTTTATCAGACTTGGATTTCTGTCTGAAACAAACACCAATTCAGTCGAATCCGGTATAACAATTTTCAACGTTGTGAAAAACTACTTCCAACTTTCATTTTTCTCCCCATCAATGATACCAAAATCTAAAGGATAATGGTGAAGGTTTGGATCTTGAGCCATGGCAATAAGTAAGCACCACCTTGAACAGTCTTCAGAAAAGTAGCATCCATAGTGATGACTTTCCTCATGTACTGAAACCCTTCAATGGAAGTTCCCAACGCAATAAATAGGTATTTGAACATTTTTCCATCATCTAACACAAAACTTGTTTTTGAATCAGGGTTCACCTTCTCAAACATATACAAGTAAGAAGACAATTTCTTGTATCCTTCATGTGGACTACCATGCATATCCTCAATTGCTTGTTTTTTTTTGTCTCCAAACCGTCGCATACGACAGTTCGATACCCAATCTTGTTTGCACCACTTTGCGAATGATTTTTGGTTTTGGTGTGTCAAAAAGTCCCAAAAAATCACGATGCATTATAGCTGCAACACATCTTGGTGTACCTTTCCTTTTGACTCCAGTACTTGAAGTTGCACGACAGCATGAATGCATCTTTATGTATTTTCTAATCGAGAATGATTCAGAATTATTTATCCTCGTAGCTCTCACACCCCATTTACAACCTTCATCCGCTCCCCGAAATTTCACCACATATCGACTCTTATCCGAGTTCACGATACTGATTCCAAAACTGTTATGCTGTGATCCTTTATCAATTAAATCTTTCACAGCTATTTTACTCGGAAATTCTTGAAACACCACAATGCCCAAACCATCTTCCCACTCAGTAACAACTGGAGTTTCATTTGCAACAGGTGGCAGCTCAACATAGTCGGAAATAACACCAATACCCATAGAGTTATCCACGTCGTCATCATTGTTCACGCTGTGTCTGTTATCCAAACCAATGCCCTCTTCGTCAGCGTCTCCATTCACAACATTCTCCACCCGCTCAGTCCTCTCTAGATATCGTTTTGCTTTTTCAATGGGAGTTAACACAGTTAGTGCACCCGGATTACCTTCAACTTTGGGTAATCCACTCCCAAGCTCACTATAGTTCCCACCATATGAGCTTTCTTTCTTAACTCTTGATTGTTGTTCCGTTATTGGAACTATTTCCATGTTTTCGATGACCTCTACATGTAAAATACTCCTTCTTCCCTCTTTATCCACTGATGTCAAATACACAAAAACATATTCGTCATCCAAAATATATGATTGCTTCTTAGGTTCTACTCTCAGTGGAATGTAACCCAAATTGAGACTCTTGTTACACGGATAAATGGTCATCTTCTTGCATATCCTCTCTTTCAAAACCGAATAAGTGATCTCATCCAATGATGATGTCTTAAAGGATATAGCATTCAAACGACCATCGCTTGGAATCCATTCATAATCATCTTCAGATTTTGCATAATGTCCATCTTAGTCAAAGTGTATGTTTTTAGAAAAATAACTCATTGTGTGCTGTACAAAAAAAAACCCTTAAAAGTTAACCAAAGTTATACATTTGTGCTATTAAATTTATACTAAGTTTACCGAAGTTATACAGTTATGCTATTGAATTCATACTAAGTTATACCGTGTTACACATTTTTGTCGGGAGTAAATTTTCACCAAAAATTTCCATACTTACACTTTTCTAGTTTAGCCGTTTCTCGGATTGATCGAGATACCCTAACAATTCGGACAAATTCGCAGCTTTATTCTACATGTTGTTCATTATCCACTCCCCTAACATAAAGGAATACATATAGATGATTCGCACTTTCCCATTCCTCCCTAATTCGACAATTTCCCCAAATATGAAATCTACTATCTAACCCACATAATATATCATCGAATGCCTTGATATTCGATACAGATCCAGATAATGCTTTACCTGAACTTGATTTCAGCTAAGTTGGGGACGATCAACTGCTCGAAGCCGCAGATTTGGGATAGTTGATTCGAGCGTTCTCGCAAAAAAATAAAAACCCAATACCGTGAAACCAACGCAGGAGAGAGAAAGAACCGGAGGAGAGAGAAACCCAAATTCAAAGAAATAAAAGAAAAAAGAAAAAAGATATAAGATTAAAAAATAGAGTGGATACTTTCGACATTAACCACCAATATGTAAAATATCAGAATAGAAAAGAGTATGTGAGCATAAGTAAGAATATATTAGAATAGATCAGCCGTTTCGATGTCAAAAAAAAAGATGATAGAATGATTATTTCCTTATTTAGAGTATTCCGGCATTTCACCCAAGTTGGACACTAAGTCTGTCAATCGATGATGAATTCGTATATTTGTGTACATGCCAATACAATTCTACTAGGATATCAATGTTCTTAAAGTTTGACACCAAGTCTGTCAATCGATGATGAATTCATATTTTTTGTATATGCCAATAAAATTCTACAATAAAACCTTATTAAAATTTGGTTTATTTACAACTCCTCATAAGGCCGGCTCCCGACGAGTTCCAATAGTCAATTTCCACTTGGCCAAAAGTGTCTTTTTAAATTTTGTTTTTAAATCCCTTATATATTAATTGAGAAACATTACAATATGTTTTGGTAGACATGTATCATCATGAGAATACTTGTCAAATTTACTAGAGAAAAATATTAGTCAATATAAACATATAATATATTTTTAGTAAACTAAGCATAAAACTATTATTAATGCAAATCATTATTTTCTTAAATATTTTTTTTTTGAAATTATCTAATACGGTTATAGTATATATATATATATATATATATATATATATATATGTCAATTAATGATTTGAATATAAAAGATTTGATAAAAAATTGTATAGCCTCTACTCTTTTTCTTAAATTTATATTGTGAAAAATAAATTAAACAATAACATTAACTATATTACAAAAACTAGATTGTTATATATGTCCTATTTTGAATTTTTAAAAATGACTATAAATTAATAAAAATTTAAAATTTCACATATAATATTATTATTTAATAGTTTAAATTTTTTGTTATAGCACGATACAAACAATTATATAATTAATGACTAAACAATAACAGTTAATAGATATTTACATTAGATATATATATATATATATATATATATATATATATTAGTAATGTTTAAA